ATATCTATTCCTGAAAAATCCTATCTCCGTCAATGTTTGCACGTCAAATCTTATTTTCTCATCGATTTACTTGATAATTCCTGGAATGCTTTGTCTCCATTTATTATAGATTTCAATAAACAATGAAACTTAACTTACTTTCAAGTTTCTCTCTGCCTAGCTCTTCTTAAAGCAACTATGGATACCAAAGATAAGCATTTGGTTGGTCTACTCTTTATATGCTGTCTCCATAAAATGTGCTTATCAAACTCCTTTAGAACAGCAGTTCTCAAATTTTAGCATGTATCAAAATCACCTGGAACAGAAGGGTGCTTGTTAAATGCAGATTTACATGCTCCATCACTAGAGAGAAGGTCCTGCATGGGGCCCAGATACTTGCATTTTAATGAGCACCCATGTGATTCAGGCACGGCTGGTCCATTGGCCAGGCCTGGAGACACCCAGCTTTGGAGAGTTATTCTAAATCCTTTCTGCAAAACTGACAGCTGTTTATATATGTGGCTCGTCTGGATTTTGTATTTTGGAAAGTTCTAAATAAGTGTTCGAGTGTTCAGTACAAATAAAAGAATCTCAGAACTGTTTCAGAGCTCAAAGAATGGATGGGGACACTGTGGCTCAGAGAGGCGACATGACTTGTCCAAGGCCACAGCTAGCTAATGATGGAGCCCGGACTCAAACCAAGTTGGGACTCTCATTCAACCAGAATCCAAAACCCCTCTTGTGTTCCAGGCTCTCTCAGAAAATTACGACCCCTGAGGAAACCTCCCCATTTCACTGCCCCTGGTGTGTACACGTCTTCACTAAGCAGCCGATGTCACTGAGACTTGTGCGGGAGGGGTAGGACCCAGCAGCTGCTCTGGGTCTAAGGCAAGGCTGGCTGGATTTTAGGGTATTGGAGGTCATACAGGGAATGTCCTGAGGTTTAACGATTCAGGAGTAGATGGGGCACTTCCCTTTACCTTCCTAAGGGAAGGAAACTTCTAGAGATGCTATACCTGATGAAGGAGGAGAATGACTATTTTTTAAAGCCGGGTGGTGTGTACATAGGAGTTCATTTTATTATTATTATTGCTTAAACAATGTGAGAATGCCCTCATGAAATTTACACTTGTAAAATTAATTTTTAATACATTTCATATTTTAAAATAACATATTTCATAATGAAAAGTTGACAAAGAAACAAGATGTAAGAGGGAAGAAAAAGACTAAGTGTGGTGAAGTAGACACTTGAAAGACAGAAGCCTCACAGTGGGAGGATGAGCAGAGGTGGTCAACACAGAGTTTATCACATCTTGGCGCAGTTCTATGGTGATGGTTCTCAAATTTTGTTTCTCGTAATCATCTGAGGAGTTGGAATCACATGGCACACTGTACACCAAGAAAAATTCCAAATATTAAAAATGCAACCAAAATAGAAGAAAACAAGAGAAAATTATTTTGTAACCTCAGAGTGGAGAAGGACTTTTGAATTATGACTCAAAATCTAGAAGCCAAAAAAAAAAGATCGTTAAATTTGACTACAAAAAATAAAAATCCACATGGAAAAAATATCATCCTTAAGCTCAAAAGACAAACAAAAAAACTGGGAAGACTGTTTGTAACCACACCAGAAATAAAGGGCTCATTTCTCTAATACATCATTAAGAAAAAGACCAGCAAACCAGTAGAAAAAAGAAAAGAAAGTTTTCAAACAAGAAATTGCAGATGGCTTTTAATTTCAAATGAAAATATGGTAAAAATTTACTGATGATAAGTAAAGTGCAAATTAAAATATACCCAGCATGTGTTTTATCTTTTATCTTAAAATCTGAGAAGATGGATGACACACTGTTGTTGGCACAGACTTTGGGGAGAGAGGCATTCTCATACATTGAGGGGGTAAAAGTGAATTTCCTTTGGAAGGAAATTTGTCAATGTCTGTCAAAATCACAATTATCTGTAGTCTTTGACTCAGTATTTCAATCAATTCATTCTACATTGCATGTGACACACGTGCATAAGGATGTTCACTGCAGTATTTGCAACAGGAAAAGACTGAAAGCAATCTAAATATCCATCAATAGGGGACCGACTCAACACCGTCTGGTACATTCACACAAGGGATGACTATGAATCTGTACAAAATAACTTTGTACCTGTTCATGCATTGACAGAGAAAGATCTGGAAGGATACACAGGAAACTAGTAAATGTGGTTACTATGGGGGTACAAGGCAGATGAAGAACAGTGTGGAAGGAAGGCTTTGCACTGTTTATCTTTTTATATAATACTTTTTGATTTTTGAATCATGTAAATGTACTATCTAATCAAAATTTAATGAATTTAAATAATTAACTGGGGAGCTGTTAAACACAGAAGCAGTTTCCCCCAACATTAACCGCACTGAAATGGAATCTCCAGGAATGATCACTGCCATGCCCTCACCACTAAGGGTATGTGGAATTATTTCTTTAAAAAAAAAGACTCACACCCCTTTAGGTCTAGTTTCTGAGTTTAATGTACCATTGTGAAGCATCCCCACATGGGAGGTTGAGTGCAGCGTAAACTCACCATCTGCCCAAGTTTGCTAAGATGAATGTTATGATTATTTTATGGCTTCCAGAAAACAATTTGTACAATTTATGGCCAGGGAAGGTTTTCATTTCTCTATTCCTTTCTGTTTGCATTAAAAAAAAATCGAAAGAGAAAGAAACAACCCATTTTGTGCTCTGGGTGACTGATGGATGAAGAGGGGGACAGCCAGCCTTCAGCCATCGTTTCTAACCATTGTCATCCACATTTGCGCTCATGGTCTGTCCAAAGCAACGGTATCTGTTGTTGAAAAGACCACAGTGGAAACAAACAAACAAAAACCCATAACCATGATTAAGCTGGAAAGTCATCAAAAATCTGGCTGAGCTGGAAAGTCATCAAAATTTGCTGGTATCCACTAAAATGGAACATCCATTGTATAGCTTAGCCATTCCAGTCTTAGGTATACACCAAGAGAAATGTACTCATTTGTGCAACAAGACATGTGAGAATGCCCTTAGAAGCATCACTCATCATCGCCCCAAAAGGGATACTACCCAGATGTTCATCAAGATTAGAAGAGAGTGGTACCTCCACACGATGAAATTCTATACAGCAATGGGAACGAAAGAACTGGAATGGCATGCGACAATCTCGCAAACAATATCTTGAGCCAAAAGAAGGCAAACAATAAAAGAAAACGTACGGTATGACTTCATTTATGTATTAGAATAACAGGCCAAAAGAATCCATGGCTTCACAAGTGAGGATGGTCGGTGGAAGATAGTGATTGGAAGAGCATGTGGGGGGTGGGGTGGTTTCTGGGGATTGGTGACATCTTGTTAATTGATCTGGATGGCCAGTTTATACAAAGTCATCGAGCAGTATATTTAATATTTGTACACTTTCTGCATTTTTGTGATGCTTTAATAAAAAGTTGTAAAAAACCATTCCAAGCCAGAACGAGCAGTGTGTGAATGAGTTGATAAGTAATGGTTTTGACTTGTAAGTAAATGCTGTTCCAGCGCCTGCGGAGGTACCAAAGAGATTCCAAAGGGACTCTGAGGACAAGATGCTGTCGGCCAGAGTCCTTGGAAATCACGCAGAGATTGGACTTGATGGTGTCGACAGGGCCTCCTCTTCCCCATCAAACGCGAAGGACCAGCAAGGCCTTGGCAATGAGCCGGCAGAGCAGCCACGAGGAAGAGGCCGGGACGGCGGCGCAGGGAGGATGCCCTGCAGTCACGTTTCACATGTCAGGAAGTCCCGACCACTGAGATGCTCCATGGAAGTTAATTTTCTGGATAAGCCAAACTTCCCTCATTAAACACCTCCTTCCTTGAAAACAGAGTCATTTGCAAGGGGACCCTTTCAACAATGCATTTCAGACCTCCCTGACTCTGAAGAAACCACAGCGTAGAATTTAACCTTTACATCAAGTAACGACACTAGCAATTCAGTCCTGTCTGTGTGCCAGGCCTTGTCCCACATGCTTCCCAGGAAATTTGCTCTAAATCCTCCCCAAAAATCTATGAATTAGGTCCTATTACTCTTCCCGTTTTACATATGAGGCCGCAAACGATTAAATAACCGCCCAGGGTCATTTAACAAATAGCGGCAGGGCGAGGAGAAGACCCCTAGCTCCACAACCTACACCCCTACCCTCTGTGCTCTTTTCTTTACAGCTTCTGGGATTTCGCGCAGGCCACACTCCGCAGTGCCAACAGGTGGACAAGAATGTTAGCTGCACCTGTACAGAGATGGAGTCCTCATTGCTTTTCTTTCCACGTTTCTTTTCTCCTTCATCGGTTATACTATTAATCTTCCCATAAAGTTACAACCCAAAACTCCCACCTAAAGTCAGATAAAAATCTAGACCATTTTGTTTTCACCACTTTAAATAAGCTCTCAATCTCCTTACATCTTTCTATTTGGCTAAAATATCCTATGGCGTTGGACCAACTTCCTTATCAGTTTAAGAAACCCTTCTGTTTGCATTTCAAAGAGTCCTGGATTTGCTTTTCCTTAACACAACTCAGAAGGAAGCCCGATGCTCATCAGATTAACAAAAGCAGCCCTCAACTGGGGTCTCTCTTGCCTGCAGCGGCTCTCCAGAAAATAGAAAGGTTGGC